ATTTTAATGCAATGTGTAAAAATTTGGAGTTAGAAAACCAAAAGGGAAGAACACACTCAGCTTTTCTCAAGCTATAGGAACTGAAGAAAAAAATCAAGTCTCACCTTGCAGTGGTGGATGGTTTTCTGGGAATGGTCAAGAACCAATGGTGTTGAAAGAAGCCCAGGTTGCAGCGAAAGCAAAGTACCCAACTCCAGGAACTGATGAGATAAATACTGAAATGCTACAACTAACTGATGCTGTGCTGGAGATACTCGGTTAGGCTAAAAATTTGGAACACAACTACCTGGCCAACCAACTGGAAGAAATCCATGTTTGTGCCCATTCCAAACAAAGATGATCCAATATGGACATCATCAATATCTGTAATGTACAGATGACATAATCTTGTTTGCTGGAAATGAAGAGGGCTTAAAGTACCTACTGATGAAGATCAAAGACGCTGGCATCTTAATGTAAAGAAAATGAAAATCTTCACAGCTGGATCACTAAATGTCATCATGATATGAAGCACTCTGGAAAAAGGTACGGTGTGTCCTTAGAAATAGAAGTGGATATAGAAATGCCTATGACCCTGCAATTGCTTTACTTGGTCTACATCCACAAGAAATACAAGCCAGGACATGAGTAGATATTTGCACAGCAATGTTCATTGCAGCACTAGTCACAATAGCAAAAAGATGTACACAGCATAAGTGTCCAGCAATGGAAGAATGGATAAAAAAAACTGTGATACATATACACAATGGAATACTATGCAACCTTGAAGAATAATGATGAATCTGCAAAACATCTCATCACATGGATAAACCTTGAGGGCATTATGCTTAGTGAAATTAGTCAGTCACAAAAGGACAAACATTTCATGATACCATTATTTTTAAAGCTTAATAAAAGATTTCCCTACTAAAAGAAACATTCTCTGATGGTTACCAGGGGTAGGAGGAAGGGGAGAGTAATTCAGAGGTTAGGGGGTGGACACATGTTAGCTTGGGTGATGGGGGGCAGTACACAAGAAGATTGAGGGTGGCAGATGAACAGTGAAGACAAGGAAAGACTTAGGGAGGTATGCGTGGGCTAAATGGGATAGAGGCAAATATGATTGATACACAACCTTGGAACAACTGTTCTGTGATACAGGGATTGAGACATAATCTGAATGGGTAACGGAGAGGGAAAATGTGTAGGTGCTTGACTATCTTAGGGATATTGATTTCCCCTGCCTGGTATTAGAAAATAGACATTTAAGTGGGATCAAAATGAATATTGGGAATTGCAGTTACAGAAAGTTTGTAAGCCCGACTTTAGCCTATAACTGATTGGATTAGCTAAAAGAAGAATTAGAATTGGCCCAGGGAAATAGCCTTCTTGTTAACCCTTTGTGGAGTATGGAGCCTTAGGTGGAATCCTGATCCCTACCCAGAACCTTCTGAGGTGGGACATTCCCACTTGAAAAGACCAACCCAGAATGCTGGGAGAACAGAAGATTTTTAGTGAAAGAAAGATGAACGGGGGAAAAGGCAAACTGTTTGGCTGTTAGAATGTCAAGCAAGCTGTTTCCTTTGAAGGCATCAAGGCAAGAAAAGTCAGCCCATCAGGGAAAACCCTGTCCTAAGACTGAAACTCAGACTCTGGTATACTCACTGTAGACCACCTGGTCTACTTGTGAGAGGAAGTGGGGGAAATGCAGCAATGGAAATATGGACTGAATTTGACCATGAGACTCAACCTTGGGAGGAGAGAAAGAAGAGCTAAGGGAGAACTCATGAGCCATGGGCACTGACCTAGCCACTGGAGTCTGCAGCTCAGAGTAAAGTGGCCAGACGCTCTCAAGTGCAGGGAGGTATGTGTGAATGCCCAGACTCGCAGCTCGTACCCGTTTGCCCTAGCTTGGGTGGACAGCTGACTAGAACTTGACCAGGTGAAGAGAAAGGTGCTTCATACTGTGAGCAAATGTGAATTTGATGGAGTGGACCTTTACTTATGAATGCAGTTGCTCAAAACTCCACCCGAAATGGAAGAATTCGTCATATCAAGGATCAAGCTGCTTTCCTCAGTGCACTGGATTGATGGTTGTTGTTAAGTGCTGTCGAGTTGATTCCGACCCATAGCGATCCTGTATAGGGTTTCCAAGGAGCAGCTGGTGAGCGTGAACCGCCGACCTTGCAGTTCAATTGGCTTTGCACCCACACCAGGACAGGTAATTTAGGCATTGGCTCTCAAAACTCTGGGGCTATAGAGGCATGAAGTGGCTGCTTTGCCAGCTTTCGTGAGTGCTGAGTTTCAGAACCAGTAGGGTAATGTAGAATCCCCACTGACTAGTTTTCCTCTTTTCCAGATGGATCTGGTGAAACGGGATTTAGGGATGATGATGATGGGATTTTATGATTCAATTGTGAGTAACTGTTAGGATTAATTGCTGTTGTCACAAATGTAATTGTAGAAGATGTGTAATTAAAAAGGGGGAATAGTTCATCTTTCATTTCAGGAACAAAGGACCCCAGGACCATCAAGAAGGGAGAGCAGATGAGTGGAGCCTGGGATCCTATCCAGAAAAGCAGGAACAGCAGAGACTGTGGCGGAGGTGATGACATGACGTGACAGAGCAGCTGTGGGCTCTAGGCCCACGGACTGAGAAAGGTGGTGTGCCTACGGGCAGGAGGCTGGCTTGCAAACTGTGCCCTTTGGACATTGAAATGAGTATATATGTTTTGTTTAGGATGTGTCCATCGTGTATTTTTGCTTTGTTGATTTGTGAAAAATAAGATGTAAGTGAAGCCACAGGGAGGAAGCAGGATAGCTGTTGTTGCAGGGAGGGAAGTGTAATCATCGAGATGAAAGAAAATATATGATTGGTTGAAAGTAATGCTGATGATCTTGTCTTAAATAAAAGAAGGAAAGAAAATGTATTGAGGGTCTAGTTCAATTTTAGAAAATCTGCATTTAAACGTATATGTGAACATTATAAAATATTATAGAGATCACTGAGGATTTTGCAAATTTTGCAGCAGGTTACATATGTATGCCATACATATTTATTTCAATAGAGTTAAAAAAACTAACAAATTTATATATTTAAAAATAAACCCCTGAATAAGTTAAAACAAAACAAAGCATGATAAATGAGTCAACATTGAAGTTACCAAAGAGTTCATTTTGCTTGAATCTAGAGTCAGCATTCCTGGAAGCACAGTCAAGAAATCAAACGTTGCATTAGGCCTATCTGCCACAAGAGACCTCTTTACAGTGTCAAGAAAATAAAAGCAAAGATGTCAGTTTGTGGACCAAGGTGCACCTGACTCAAGCCACGATAGTTTTCAGTTGCCTCAGCTGCATGCCTAAGCTGGACAATGAATTAGCAAGACTGAAGAAGACTCGGTGCTGTTAAATTAGGATGTTGACAAAGACGATCGAGCACACCTTGCATGAACTGTCCCAAGAACAAACGTGTTTTGGAAGTGCAGTCACAATTCCCTTTGGAAGCGATGGTGGCAAGACTGTTTCTCCTACTTTGGACATGTTTTCAGGAGGGACCGGTCCCTAGAGAATGCTATCATGCTTGGTAAAGTGGAGGGTCAGCGAAACAGCGGAAGAGCCCTGTGAGATGGATTAGCACAGTGGCAGTGGGCTCAAACGTAACAGCTGTGAGGATGACGCAGGACTGGGCTCTGTGTCCTCTTTGGTCCATAAAGTGTCTGATCCAGAACCAACTTGATGGTCCCTTCCCTGTCAGGACTATCCAGGTCCTCTAGAGGCAGATGCAGACAGATTTGGGAATACCCACCTGTGAAGAGGTGGCTTGATCTGAACCCTGGGAACCCAGGACAGTTGAGGTGGCCTCACACCCATGGCACCTGTGGGCATGGCCTCAGTACCAATGCCTTTGGGTTCTGTTTAGTTGGTTCTTGATCCCAGCAGGACCTGGGCAAGTGTTGTCCAAACCACGTAGCTTGGCTTGCCCCTCCTCTGCCTCCCGCTATACTGAACTCCTCGTCATCACTCACCTCTGTCACGTCCAAGCCTGTCCAGCCTTCAAGCAGTGGTCAGTGTGGCCACCATGGTTGCCAGGCCCAGACCTCCAGCTTATAGGTCTGCAGGACGCTGGGTCCCTGGCTGTAGTGTCTACAGCCCTGCAAGCAAACAGTCTGGAGAGGGCCCTGTGGATACTGGACTGGGGTCACTGGACTCGCCCACCTCCATGTCCTCTGAGTATGTCCACTGCATCTGTATGTTCTCACCACAGAAGTGCTGATACCACGAGACCGCAGATGCTGGGCTAACACTTCAGCACACTAGGGCTACTGTGTCTCCCATTTGCCGAGTTCATCCTGACCCCACCTGGGAGGTGCCCCTTGGAGCTCTCCACGGCTTAATGTGTGTGTACCGGCTGCGGCTTTCCGTTTCCAGTCTAGGAAAGCATCGTCACAGGAAATGATATCCTGGAAGAGTTGCTTGTTAAACAGTGCTGTGAGGAACATCTTTCATCTGTTTGGATTTGATTTTGGTGTAATGTTTGAGGTTGATATCCTGTTGTATTTTATGTAAATGATTCATAAGCATATATCGACTTTCTTGGTTAAGTCGCTTTATCACATGCTCTTTTTTTGGGCCTGTGTCTGTATGGTTTCTTCTGGAGTCTGCCCTAGACTTGGAGTCTAGCCGCAATGCTGCCTCCGCCTGTCTTCGTTGCTCCTTATTCCTCCTACATTTTCAGAAATGCTTGGTGTTTCGTGCAGTGCATTGTTCTTCTAGAGAAACTTCACATTGTTCGTTCCTCCCCAGATTCTACTGGGGTCAGTTTGTAATGGTACCGAGTTTGGCTGCAGTCCCTCTTGATCTCTCATTGCTTAGGACAGATATCTCGGCATGGATGCACTGGGTCAGAGGATGTGCAAAGACTTGATAAATACCCCACGTTGCCTCTGGGAACTGCATTTCTTCATTCCCCATGTTCAGTTAACCCGATGTCCACCTGTTGATGAGAAGTTTCTCTGTCACAGGGCTCCAAACGGGTTCTGCGCTCCCATGAGATTGTGCTGCCCCCCAGTGGACATGTGGAGACCGACCTGGCGCTGACCTTCTCACTGCAGGTGGGCAGGACTACACATTTTTCCTGGATGGTGATTTCTTCTATAAAGATTAGAATATTTCCTTTGGTCTCAGGTTGAATTTTTCATTCCATTCCCATGGAAAATGCAGTGAGGCCCAAAATCAGGCTATCAAGTGGGGTCATTTCAGTTTCGTCCCTTAGGAAAGGTAGGGAGAAATATATGGAAATTGCTGTTGGAAGCTGGAGTCCCTCAGGATGCTTCTGAGTGAGTCTGGCAGTGAATGTGGACCCGGGCACTAAGGTGCCCCTCAGGACCCTCCCGCATGGGCCCGGGTCTTAGGTGCCCTCTCAGGACCCTCCCGCATGGACCCGGGCCTTAGGCGCCCTCTCAGGACCCTTCCGTATAGACCAGGCCTCAAGGTGCCTCTCAGGACCCTCCCGCACAAGGACGCGGTGTGGACTCGGAGCCCCATTCACCTGCACACTAACCCAGCAGCAGTGTGGTAGGGGCACCATCTTCCGGCTGAATACACTTGCCTGAGAGAACACACTGGGTTGAGTGTCCGTCTATTTCATCAGAAACCTCCTCTCATTCCAACTGTGCTAGACCAGGCTGTGGTTGGTAGCATCCGTGAGAATTCTGACTGCTCTCACATGGCACCCCCCCCCAACCGTAAGACCCTGCTGACCCCCCAGGCTCTGCTGGCCACCAAGGAAGATATGCTAACTGCCCCCACACCAGGTTTTAGGTCCCTGCCCACCCAGGCTTCATTTGAGGGACTGACCAGACAGATGACTCTGGTCTTGGTGGTTGATTTTCTTGTTTGGGGGGCATGGAGTGGGGTGGTCAGTTTAGTTGAGCTGTACTTAGAAAATGTGTGATTCTCTTGTTCAGGTTCTGTGAGTTTTAACGAATGCATATAACTCTGTAATCACCATCAGAGTTAAGATCTAGAACCGTCTATCACTCAGTGTCCTCTAAGAAAGATGCTGTGAGCACCTGCTTTATGTACAGGCTGCACTGGGATTGGGGCTGGGGCTGGGCCGCCTGGCTGGGTAGCTGGCAGGGTCTACCCTGAACAGCACAACCCACAAGGTAGTGAGTGGTAATAGCCTCACAGTCACCTCAGACTCCATGGTGACCTGCTCCTCCCTGGGGCGCCTCTCTGCCCACACTGATCTCAGACTCCATGGTGACCTGCGCCTCCCTGGGGCACCTCTGCCCACACTGACAGGACCGTGACCCCACTGTGCCCACAGTACCCTCACTTCCTGAAGAGAGAAGGTAACAAACTTCAGATTATGCTGCAGCGGAGGAAGCGCTACAAGAACCGCACCATCCTGGGCTACAAGACGCTGGCTGTGGGCTCCATCAACATGGCCGAGGTAGGGGCTCGGACACAGCTGTGGCTGTGGGCTCCATCAACGTGGCCGAGGTGGGTTCTTGGGCACAGGTGTGGGTGGGGGCTTGGGCCAGGATGCAGGACAGCAGCCTCAGGGCCTTGCTGGGTGGAAAGAGAAAGGCCGCTGGGGTCAGTGGTGGTCGGGGAGGAGAGGCTGCGCTGCCTTGGTGTCAACACGGCCCTTGGCCTCGGCCCACCCCACAGGTGATGCAGCACCCGTCGGAGGGCGGACAGGTGTTGGACCTATGCAGCAATATTAAAGAGGCCGCCGTGAAGGTGGCTGAGATCTGGATCATCTCCCTGTCCAGCCAGCCTGTGGACCACGAGGACAGTGCCATGCAGGCTGGCCCTAAGACCAAGTCCACAGGTGACCCGTGTCCACACAGCACCAGTGTCCTCTGGACCTTTGCCTAGAGATCCACCCCATCCCCCTTCTGCCTCTGCAGCAGCTGCTACCCCCCAGCGGCATCCGGTAGCATACCTTGTTCAGCGTGGGGTTAGAGGTCAGGTGGGGATGCAGAGGGGTCAGCACAGCCTGCAGCATGTGGCCAGCATACTTCTGGAAACCCCGGCTGTGGTCCCTTAGCCACAGCACACTGCCCTCAGCAGAGTGGGCACGAGGGGCAGGGTGGAAAGCTGGTGCTGTACAGCGCCCGTAACAAGAACGGGCTCCTGCTGAGTGAGCAGTGGCCAGAGGGCCTGGGGAGGGTGTGCAGAGCAGCCCCTGCCCCCTGTCCTCAGAGTGCACCCCACCCTCAAGCTCCAGAATAGAATCTCAAGGTGCCTTCCTTCCATGTACTGATTCCGCAGACAACTACTCTGAGGAAGAGTCCGAGAGTTTCTCCTCCGAGCAGGAGGCCAGCGACGATGCTGTCCAGGGGCAGGTGATTGCAGCTGCAGGGACACAATGTGGAGCGTTGGGGGTGGGGGACAATGTTGAGGACTAGGCGTGGGTGAAGGATGTGTGTGGTGTGGAGGGCCTGGGGTGGAGTTAGGTGGGGTGGACGCAGAGGTCCGGGGACATGAGACACAGTGATTCTCTCTCTGTACCATGGCTAGGGGATGCTATGTGGAGCACAAGATGTAGAAGGTAAGGAGGGATGGGGTGTGTGATGTGGATGCTCGTGGAGGACCATGGGGGAGATACAGTGGTCCACAGGGGCTAAGGGGATAAGAACATGCCCCACACTGGGAGCCTTGGAGCAGGTGATGTGGGGGCTGGTGGAGGCCCATGAGCTCCTGAGGTCTCAGGAACAGTTGCTGTGCTCAGGGGTGGAGCGTCTCCCCTGTCCAGGACTCCTGTCCCTCTGCGGGACGTGGGTGGCCTTGGGCCTGCACATGTCCCATCCTAGGGCATGGCAACATAGCTTTAGGGCACATGTGTCCCCACAGGATCTGGATGAGGATGACTTCGATGTGGGGAAACCCAAGAAGCAACGGCGATCGATAGTAAGAACGACGTCCAGGACCAGGGTGGGTGGAGACGTGTTCTAACCCTGGGGACGGGTGGGCATGTGGGCCGGGTGCATGGGGCCCAGCCTTAGGGGCAGCCCACCACAGGGGAGGGGACTATGGCACCATCAGTCACAGGTTTTGCTTGTGGGCATAGCTGGCACCATGCCAACCCCTGGTTCTGGCCACGTGAAGGGGGACGGGGCCATCAGGGAGGCCCCACACTTCATGTCCTACCACACAGTGTGCAAGAAGCCGCTTCCTACTAGAGCGAGTGGGGAGCCGGGGGTTGGTCTGGGAAGGGTCCAACTCCCTCACCTCCCACAGCAGGCTTCTAGAGAGGGCCATGATCTCGCTCCGTGCCTTGGGTCCGTTTGTAGGTCTGACCATGCGTTTTGGTCTGAAATGATTTTAAACATGCTTGTTGTGGTACAAATAGTTAACACACTCAGCTGCTGACCAAAAGCTTGGTGGTTTGACTCTACCCAGATACCTCCAAAGAAAGGCCTCTTGTTCCTCTAAAAACTCCGCCTCTGAGAAACGTGTGGAGCACAGTTCTGCTCGGACCCACACGGGGTGGCCATGAGTCCGAGTGCCCCAACAGCAGTGGGGTCTGGTGGTGGCAGACCCTAAGTCATGTAGCATATGCCGAGACTGCCCCCTGTAGGAAGCAGGACTGACTCGGTGTCCGACTTGTCTTGCAGCAACAGAACTTCAAGCAGAAGGTTGTGGCCCTGCTGCGGAGGTTTAAAGTGTCGGATGAGGTGAGGTCCCGGGGCCGCCGCCCACTCTGCCTGTTCCCCACATTTGGACAGCTGTGCTCACCGCTGTATTAGCAACACTGCCCCCTCCCAGCTGATGGTGAGGTGTCTCTGAGGTGGGAATTCTGGATCCAAGTCGTGGCTCTGTCTTCTACTGTTGGTGTGACCATCATAGCATGACTTTCCTCATATGTAGGACGGGGTGACAGGGACCCCACTCCCAGGAACCCTGCAAAAAGCCATGACTGCCCCAGAAAGTGCACGTCATGTTTCAGTCCTATTACAACCCCCTGAGCAAGATCCAAGGGGTGGGTTTCTCTTTCATTATTCCCTAGGCTCCAAATTTTCTACAATGAGTTTGTGTAACTTTTTAAAATCAGAAGAAAGAGATCTCATTTTTCTTTAGATGTGGTCAGAGAACACTTTAAACACTGGGTTGTGGACCCACGTTGGAGAAGTGGCTTTTAGCAGTGAAAGCGTCACCCTCACCATGCACACATACCAGGGCCTCTGCCCCTTGGACAAGGAGGGCAGAGCTGCGCTGGGCCCATCGGACCCCAGCAACCACGTGTAAGCAGCTGCTCTGCTCAGACACATCAGAAGACAGTGTTACCAAGACCAGCGACTCACTCACCTGGTCTGAGAGGAAGTGCTGCCTCAGAGCCACGGGTATGGGTAGCCAGACAACAAAATGATAAAAAAAAAAGGACCCAAATGGGAATTCTGGAGCAGACAAGTACAGTCGCTGAGGTGAAAACGTCACTAGAGAGGTTCAACAGAAGATTGCAGCAGGCAGAAGAAAGACCCATTGAACTTGAAGATGGAGTGAGTTATCCAGTCTGGGAGCTGAAGGAAGAATGGAGACAAGTGAACAGGGTCTGAGGAGCCATAGGACACACACAGTACGGGGCCCAGAAGGAGATGAGAACAAACATCTGCGTAAATGGTCTAAAACTTCCCACGTCTCGTGGAAGACATGAATCTACACAAATTAGAATGCCTCTGTGAAATGGACAAATTCTAAGAAGCTCTTATGAACTCCAAACAGGATAAACTCAGGGATCCATATTGAGACACTTAAAGTGAAATTGTCAAAACCCAAAGGTGTTTGCGAGGAATCTGTATGTAGACCAATAGGCAGTCATTTGGGACTGAATGGTTTAAAATCAGGAGAGGTATGCTCCAGGGTTGTATTCCTTCACTATACTTATTCAATCTGTATGTGGAGCAAATAATCCTAGAAACTGTATTATTTGAAGAACATGGCATCAAGATTGGAGGAAAACTCATCACCAATGAGTCAAGGAAAATGTGTTTGAAAATTATCCTCATATACTAGCCATCATGAAACTTACAGGGAAGAATCACACTTGAGAGGTAATTAGTCTCCACAAAATTCCAAAGAATTTTTGAGGGAATAACAATAAAGAATGAAAATAAGAAAAAAATCAGCCTTTAACAATTTAGTCAACTTCAGCTAGTTTTAGGTGGGAAGTCCAAAATAAGCAAGACATTTAAAAGTCTTATTCACATCAATAAGTGCCATATTTTCCACATTATTTAGAGATTTACTTATATTTTGGTTGAAAGCTGCTTATTTCAAAAAGACATACACATTTAAAAGAAAGATAACCATAATAGGGTATAATTGGGGGAGATAACATGTTTTTAAAAGACAACCTTCTTAGCTTGCTTTTCAGTCCATTCCATGTACATAACATATTTTTTTGAAGTGAGTCTTGTGAGAACGTTGAAGAACAGGAATTCAGTGACTTTTTTTTTTTTTTTGAGTTTTTATTGTGAATTGAGTTTACATGGGCGAGCAATCGATTTTATACTCATTGTTTCATTGAAATGATTATAAGCTCCTCCATGCATCACCATTCAACAGTATTTGCTTCTATTCCTTCTGTTTTGTTTTGTTTTTTTGGCGGGGGATGTACACAGAAACACTCAGGAATATATAATCATTTAAACAACCAAAGGACACATTCTGGAAGCCTGCCTCCTGGCCACCAGCACACAGCCTTTCTCTTTCCATGAGTCGAGTCCTCAGCTGCTCCCTCTCTCCATGTCCTCATCTCTGCCTCCATCTCTGGTGTTGCTGTTTCTTTGGATAGGGTCCCACATTCCACTCATGCTTTCTCCCTTGATGGTCCTAGGGTCCTCTCTTCTTGGAGTGTAAGATTAATTACTCCCCCCCCCCTTTTTTATACAAAATTTCTACCTTTACAGTTATGACAGGCCTAATTAGCCATGATAACTATTACTTGCTATTGAATCATAAGAATCTTATCCCCATCTCCTTTCACCAGACTCATCTGGACAAGATGAAAACTATTCAGTGGGAACTCTACCTTCCCCCGCATACTCTGAAACTAAACTCCCTCTTGAAAACTTGTAAGGCAGTCACTTCGTGCCTTTATAGCCCCCTCATTTTAGGTAGCCAATGTCTAAATTGCCCATCCCTTTCAACCCTGTACAGAGAGGGTATAGGATTGATACTTGATGTGAAGACTCCCTCCCTCTCAGTTGGTATTTTGAGCTACTGATTTCAGGGACTTCCTATTCTTCGGTCCCTGACGATTTCTCATTTTGAGACAAAAAAGGTTACCATCTTTTAGGTAACTCTGCTCTGTCAACTTAAAGTCTCATCCATATGAAGTCACAGAATGAAAATGACCTGGTTTGTTCATTACTAAATCTGTCATAATTATGTATTGTTTAAATGGTGTTGTAGGATGAGCCCTGGACTACAAACCACAAGGTTGGTAGTTCAAACCCACCAGCCACTCCAAGGGAGAAAGATGAAGTTTTCTGTTCCCGTAAAGACAGTCTCAGAAAACCATATACAGGTTGTTGTGACTCGTCATCAACTCGATGGCAGTGAGTTTGATTTCGGTTTTTGTTTCTTCTCCTCACAGGTGTTTATGTACACATTGAAATGGTCCAAATTCACTAGAAGAGCTTGGTTCTGGAAAGCACCCTGTGCTGGTGGTAGGCAGGGCCACTGAGTTCTGGATTTGACTCTCCCACAACTTAGTGAGACTTTGATTAATTTGTTGTTGTTGTTGTTAGTGAGCTACACAGTCAAATGTCTTTGCAAAGTCAGTGAAACCTAGGTAAACATTTTCCTGGTCTTTTCTGCCAAGTACACCTTAGAAGAGCAGTGATAGTACTCGGTCATGCCCTCTTCTAAATCCAACTGGAATTCTGTCAGTTCCCTTTTGATGGACTGCTGTACCCATTTTTCAGTTGACTTCAGAAAAATTTTACCTGGGTGTAACAATGTCACTGTTTAACACTGCCCACATTCTATTGGATCACCTTTCCTTACAATGGGCACAAATAAATAGACCTCTTCCTTTTGGCTGGCCTGGTAATTTATCTTGTTTTAGGAGAGTGAGTGCTTCCAGTGTTGTATCTCTTGATGAAAGATTTCAGTTTGTATTCTTTCGATTCCTGGAGCCTTGTTTTTGCCAAAGCCTTCAGTGCAGCCTGGACTTTTTCCTTCAGTACCATTGGTTCTTGATCATATAGTACCTTCTGAAAGGGTTGAACATTGACCAAGTCTTTTTGGTACAGTGGCTCCATATATTCCTTCCATCTTTTTTTTTTTTTTTAATTTATT